ACGGCGCGTTATCGAGTCCACCCTAGCGTCTCTGGAAGAGTTTCAGGAACGCGATAGCGGGTGGGTATTGTCGCGAATACTGAACTTGACTGTAAATATAAACAAGTACAATCCCATGCGCGCGGGATGTCACATCAAGTTACCGCGGGAGATTATGATAAAGAGAGCGGTGGTTAACGTGCAATCAAAGGACAATGCGTGTTTCGCGTGGGCAGTGGTCGCCGCTCTGTATCCCGCCAAAAGTCATGCGGAACAGGAATCATCGTACCCGCATTACGCGACAGTGCTGAATCTCCGGGACATTGAGTTTCCAGTGACTGTTAATCAGATTAAGAAATTTGAACTTGCAAATAACATTTCAATCAATGTGTACGACATCGAAGACAAAAACATTGTCCCGATACGTCTTTCGCAGCAGAAACGGGACAAGCATGTGAATCTGCTGTACACTGAAGACGGCAACAGCGTGGGACATTTCGCTTGGATCAAGAATTTATCCAGGCTCGTGAGCTCGCAATTGAGCAAACACAATGGCCAAAGATATATCTGTGATCGGTAAGTTTATTTTATATTATTTGAATAATTATAAGTTATACACTTTGTTACATAAATCTTAATTAAAATTTTTTTCCTTTACAGATGCCTTCATTATTTTGATTCGGACGACAAGTTGCAATCGCATACGGTCGACTGCGGAAAGCTAAACGATTGCGCTGTCCGGTTGCCGAGCGACAAGGACAAGTGGCTCGAGTTCAGCCACCCTAATCGAAAGGAGCGGCTTCCATTCATCGTGTACGCCGACTTGGAATGTGTCCTGGCCAAGACGAAAGAAGAAAAATTATATCAACACCATCGGGTATTTAGTTTAGCTTATTATGTACATTGTTCGTACGACGAATCGTTATCAGCGTATCATTCGCGTCGAAGCACCGATTGTATAGCATGGTTCGCCGAAGACCTTAAAAATTTGGCGTTACGTGTAAAAAATATTTTAAAAACAAATGTCCCCATGATAAATTTAACGTCCGAAGAGTGGGAAAAATTCCATAACGCCACTCGTTGTCATATATGCGAAAAGCCATTCGCGCAAGACGATACACGCGTTCGCGATCATTGCCATCTGACCGGGCGGTACAGAGGTCCTGCACATTCAAATTGTAATTTAAATTATAAAGATTCTTTTTGTATTCCGATAGTGTTTCACAATTTATCCGGTTACGATTCTCATTTTATCATCGAGGAAATAGCCACAGCGTTCGAAGGGAAAATCGAGTTATTACCGATAACCAAGGAAAAATATATTTCGTTTACCAAAAGTGTTGATCTTAAAGAAGAAGAATCAAAAAATCAAATAAAATTACGTTTCATTGATTCATACAAATTTCTCGCATCGAGTCTCGATAAATTGGCATCATTTTTGGACAAAGATAAACTCAAAATTTTAAAATCGGAATTTCAAAATTTATCAACAGAAAATTTCAATTTGTTAACGCGAAAAGGTGTATTTCCGTACGAATACATCGATTCCGTCGACAGGTTGCATGATACGTGTTTACCATCGCGCGAATCATTTTACAGTTCCTTGACTGGTGAAACTGTATCCGAGAGCGATTACGCGCACGCCGAGAACGTCTGGACGCGATTCTCCATTCGGACGCTAGGCGAATATAGCGACTTGTACCTCAAAATTGATGTCTTGTTATTAGCCGACATTTTCGAAAACTTTCGAGATAAATGTATCGAAAGTTACGGACTCGACCCCGCGTATTACTATACTCTCCCCGGATACACGTGGGACGCCATGTTGAAGCATACAAAGATCACGTTCGAGTTGCTTACAGACATCGACATGGTTATGTTTATCGAACGTGGTATACGCGGTGGTCTGAGCCAATGTTCGGGTAGATACGCTCGCGCTAATAACAAGTACATGGAGTCGTACGATCCATCGAAACCATCATCGTACTTGATGTACTTTGATGTAAATAATTTGTACGGATGGGCAATGTGTCAACCGCTGCCCTATGCTGATTTTCGATGGGTCGACGATGTGTCAAATTTTGACATATCATCCATCGCACTAGATTCGCCTACGGGCTATATCCTCGAAGTGGACCTCGAGTACCCGCAACATCTTCACGATGCGCACACTGACCTACCGTTTTGCCCGACACGTGACAAACCACCTGGCAAGCGGGAATTCAAGCTGCTTGCAACGTTATACGATAAGAAGCGTTACGTGATACACTACCGCAATCTGCAGCAGTGCACGCGGCACGGCCTTCGTGTAACAAAAATACATCGAATTTTACAGTTTTCACAATCTCCCTGGCTTCAAAATTATATAGAATTAAATACACATTTCAGAACATTGGCTAAAAATGATTTCGAAAAAAATTTATATAAATTAATGAATAATGCGGTGTTTGGTAAAACGATGGAAAATGTGCGCAATCGTGTCGATGTAAAATTATTAACAAAGTGGGACGGTCGGTACGGCGCAGAGGCGATGATCGCGAAACCAAATTTCCACAGCAGAAGTGTTTTTTCGGAAAACTTAATCGCTGTGGAATTGCGTAAACTCGAGGTGAAATTCTACAAGCCGATTTACGTGGGTATGTGCATCCTCGACATATCCAAGACATATTTGTACGAATTTCATCATGAGTATATGACACCAATGTATCGCGACAAATGCCGGGTAATGTACACCGATACGGACAGTCTCATATATCACATCGAGTGCGAGGATGTGTATGAGAATATGAAGCGTGACATTGTTAGATTCGACACGAGCGATTATGCGGTGGACAATGCGTACGGTATACCGCTTCTAAATAAAAAGGTGCCGGGTCTGATGAAGGACGAAAACAACGGTGCCATAATGACCGAATTCGTCGGGCTCAGAGCAAAGATGTACGCGTTACGAGTGAATGGGAAAAAGGATACAAAGAAAGTCAAAGGCGTCAAGAGCAACGTTGTCGCGAGAACGATAACGTTTGACGATTACACGCGGTGCTTGAACGAAGAGATTGAAATGACGCGTCAGCAGTCGTGTATACGATCTAAATTACACCAAGTATACACTATTCGCGAGACGAAAATTGCTCTGAGTCCGTACGACGACAAGCGGTATATCGTACCCGATACCACCGATACATTACCGTGGGGACATTATCGGATACCGTTGTAAATAAATGTATATTTCATTTATTTATTGTATATTTTGTACATAATCATGTATATATTTTGTACATTTTATATTATATATTTTTATATTTATATATATTTTATATGTTTCAATAAATGTTTACAACACATTATTTTTATGGATCCAAGAGTTGTATGATTTATCCATTCCCAACCATTTCACGTAAACCTCGTCACCCTTTTTTTGTAAAATTTCTTCCACGAGATATACGTCGGGATTGGCGACGCGTTGTAACTCATATTCGTAGAATCCTCCAGCGACGGGATTTCCCCGCGAATCTTCGAGTATAAATGTCGCGGGATTAGTTTTCTGCACCTCGATAATCTTAAAAACTTTGGTCGTCCAATTTGGTGTGAAACCTTTTTCAAAGATGGTCTTGTATTTGCTCACGCGTACCGAATCGCCTACTTTAAATTTTGCAGGAGCCGCAATTTTTACGTTGCTATACACCGTATTTAAAAGTTTTTCGGCGATCGTCGGAGTGATGTCGACAGGTCTCATACCGATGGTGCGATGTTTTCGCGTATTGTACTCTGCAACGAGTCGAGATAGTTCATCGATCCATTTATAATTTCCATTCAACGTAAACATTTTCCACATATTGTTTTTTAAAGTACGATTGAATCGTTCCACGACTGAGGCTTTCATAACGGAATATGTTGAGTAATGATTAATGTTGTGCTTCTTCATGAGTTTCTGCACACTCGAGTTGTAAAATTCTTTTCCCCTGTCGGTTTGAAAATTTTTCGGACATCTTTTATCGTCTCCAATAGTCTTTGCGATCGTTTCGGACATTTCGTTCCCGCTCTTACTCTTGAGCGGTACGGCCCACGCATACTTGCTCAACACATCGATAACCGTGAGTATGTATTTATGACCCTTGTTGAGTCAAGAGTACGAACGCATGTCCACCACGTCCGCCTGCCACAGATCATCGTATCCGCGTACAATGACGCGTCTTCGTGGAAAATTTCTTCTCGCCGGAGCATGTAATTCCTCGACTAGTTGTCGCTTTTCGGAGGTGCTTTTGTTCTTTCGCACGTTTGATCGAGGCATAATTAATATGCGATATTAGTATATCTCGCTTACTGTGTCGAGTTAGATGTTGCATATCTCAGCACATTCTTTATCTCATCCATCATTAATTGCAGCGCCTGCACGTTTGTTTCGAGCGCGATAATTTTTTGCTCAATTTCTCCCTGCCGATCTCTCAAAAGTTTATCCACGTATAGTTTGTTGACGACGTCGCCCGCACAGCACCTTTCATTGTAAATATATATTAAATACGTAACAATATTGCATTTACATTGCATTTCATTTCATATCAAACATAATGTATTAAATACATAATTAGCGCAATAGATATAAAATATCCAAGTCAAAATATATATATATAACATGCAGGTATGTTGCGCATATTATATAAACATATAAATGTATCAAACACGTAGTTGATATATAGCGACAGATAATTATAAAAACGCATGCGCGCGTAGTCATATTTAATCGGTATGAGAGGTTTCCTAACCTTAAACAATTGTGATCTTAAATGTCAGCTGAGTTTTTGATAAATTTTTTTTTAATTAAGAGTGTTTCACGTAATATTGTGAAATTTTCACAAAATCAATCGTAGCTAGGAAATCCCTCTTCTTCACAATCACCTTTAAATTAAACAGTGAATCTAATTAAGGTAAGTTCTTATTTTGCAATAGAATAGATATGTAATTGCTGTACACAGTTAATGCGTATTTGATTACGTGTTTTATAGATACATAATAATTTTTATAATATGGATAAAAGAAATAACTGTGATATTTCTTCAAGACATAAGAGACGATTAGCACAAGAAGAAACGAAAAAAGATTATTTGTTACTAGAATCGTCAAGCAGTAATGTGACTGATTTTGATGGTCCATCTGTCGAATATATAAAAAAATGTCGAATTGAAAATGTAAATGATCAATTATCAGTTTCAACATCACCTTTTAATATTGATCACAAGCACATCAATCAGTATTCGTCAAACATTAGTAGCAATAATAAAGAAGAATTTTCGTCGGATGAAATACATAACTCATCAGAAATGGACACAGATCACGAAGATTTGATTGATATTGAGGAAAAAAAAGAAGAAATGTTATCGTTATTGTATGACTCTGATGATTCCAGTGACGCTGCAGAGGATATGGATAGTGAATATATTGACGATGAAGATAAAAGTAAGGATAATGAATTGTTGCACAATCTTCGAAATTGGTCTTTTGCATTTAAAATTAGGCATAACGCAATTAATGCTCTGATTAGAATTCTGAGGCATACTCCACATTCACAATTCAATACATTGCCGAAGAATGCAAGAACGCTTCTAAAAACACCTAGAAAAACTGCTGAAATAGTTACATTATCTGGAGGATCGTATTATCATTTTGGTGTTTCGAATACTTTAGAAGTACTCCTGCTACACTATAAAAGTATGTCTTTGAAAGTATCTGAAGTTAATTTATTAATTAACATAGATGGTTTGCCATTATCCAGATCATCGCCAAAGAGTTTCTGGCCAATATTACTTTCAGACGATATTTCAAACCAAGTGTACATGGTCGGACTATTTTTTGGTCAAAAGAAACCAAACAATGCCAATGAATTCTTACAACAATTTGTGAAAGAATTAATACCATTAATACAGAGAGGATATCATTCAGACATGTTAAACTGTGATATTAAAGTTAATATTAAAGCCATTATTTGCGATGCTCCAGCAAAATCTTTTATTTTAAATGTTAAAGGACATAATGGTTATTCAAGCTGTACTAAATGTACCATTAGCGGAGATTACATTAACTCTAAAATGTGCTTTCTTTATGAAAAAAGATCAAGTGCACTCAGAACTGACGAAGATTTTGTACATCAGACAGACTCTGATTATCATCAAGGAGAATTGCCCACAATTTTGCTCTCTGTGCCTCATTTAGGATTAGTGTCGAATATTGCTCTTGACTACATGCACTTGATTTGTTTGGGCATTGTAAAAAAAATTATATTGTTGTGGATAAGTGGACCATTAGCTGTTCGCATTCGTGCTCAAGCAAAAGATAATATTTCGCAAGCACTTATTAATTTAAGAAGTTCTGTGCCCAAAGAATTTTCAAGACGACCTCGAAGTTTAAATGAAGTAGCATACTGGAAAGCCACAGAATTTCGGCAATTTTTATTATATACTGGACCTATTGTTTTAAAAACAGTTTTAAATAGAGATATATACACACACTTTTTGACCTTACATGTGGCTGTATCAATACTCATCAGTCCAATGCTAATAGTAAATAAAAACAATGTAGATTATGCAGAAAAACTATTGCAACATTTTGTTGAATCATTTGAGAAAATTTATGGCAAGGAATATATGTCTCATAATGTACATAATTTGTTACATCTCTCTAACGAAACTCGAAAATTTGGATCACTTGATTCTTTTAGCTCATTTAGATTTGAAAACTTTTTACAAATTTTAAAAAGTTTTCTGTGTAAAGCAGAAAAACCACTGCAGCAAGTTATACGACGATACATGGAAAGAAGACAAAATCGGTATGAGAGTATGAAGAATAAATCATTTCATTCACTTCATAAATTTGAATTAAAAGGAAAACATACTACTGGTATAGTGGCCGATGAAATTCAAGATATTATTAAATCGCAATACAGGAAACTATTATTATTAGAAAATTATGAAATCGACTGCAACAGCGAAGCAAATAATTGTATCATGACAAAAGATGGAAACTTACTTACAGTTAAGAATGTCGTGAAATGTACTAATAATATAACGTATGTTGTTGGTTATCAATTGAGGAAATTAGATGTTTTATATTCACGACCATTTTCATCAGAGAATTTGGGCATTAATGCTGTTGAAGAAATAAATAGTAATGTGATATGTTATCCTTTGAATGAAATACAAGGAAAGATGTGGAAAATTAAATTTAATTCAAAATTATATGTCATTCCTATTCGACACGTTTGTGGATAATAAAACTACTTTTGAAGCGCAATATAACATTCTAACAATATAAACATAATATAAGAACACATGATTATCGTAATGCGATAATTGCAAATATGAACAAGAAGAGTTAAAAAGTTAATATTTCATTCAATTTTCTCTCAATTATTATTTATGATGTTTGCAATAATGGCATGATTGACAATATTCTGATTTCAATAAATCGATAGTTCGAACGACTAACTATTGCGACCAACTTTATTGCTTTCGTCCGACTAATATCCAACTTGTGTCTGCTGGTTGCTGCATCTCGTCAAGGTTGCAATAAATGAATAAGTTAAAAGTGTGCATATATGAACCAGAAGGATTTGCATATTTGTGACCATTCTGTGGCGATACTTGTCCATATTCATCCTTTGTTGTCTTTGTTTTTTTCTTGTCTTCGTCTCATTCTCGAAATTCGAGAATTTGTAGAAAGGTAAATGTACATATGATTAAAACATGAATAACAGATAACTTTAAAAATTGAATAAAAATTAACTGAATCTAGTTTATGCACACGCGATTACATGTCATTATTTAAAATTGAACTAATGTAATAAACCGCTGCTTTTTTTGTAGGTTATGTTTTGAACATTTTAAGCCATAGTTTTCAATACTTCTGAGACGCGAGCAGTTTCCTTCCTAAAAAATGAAGAAAGGATCTTCTTTAGAGGTAAATATAGAAATGCACATGATTAATATTTATTGTCAATAAATTAATTTATCATTATACATATATTTCATTGATAGTTTACAGAAAACTTCTATGTAGTTGAATTTAATGACGGGTTAGCACTAGTTCCTAATAACTGGTTGCGGATATCCGATCAAAAGCAACAGATTTGTTTCTATCCAAATTACGATGTGAAAAAGAGGCTGAATAAGACTATACAGAGTAAAGAAATACCGGATTTAAAAAATGTAAAAGCTGGTTGGATGATGTATGACGTTCTACGCATTTTTGCTTCAGCAGGTATATCTACAATTATTTACTGAAACTTGTCTTCCCTTCTTTGTGTTAAAATAAAATTCATTTTTTTCCTTCTTGAAAATATTAATTCAATGAATAAAATCAATGTAAACAAAGGTTTATATCAACAACTGATATAATAAATGAAATTAAATGTTATTTTGACTTGATTCATTGGACCGATATTGCCGAAAAGAAAAAAAAAATTAATTCCATTTATTGGAAATTTTGATATTTTCTTTTAAGATCAAGCTGTCGACACATAATTCTCTATACTATTCTTGATTGTCTATCTATGTGTGTGTTTTGTATTTATATTGTTAATTATACTTAGATACTTTTGAACGAGGCCAAGAAAAGTTAACGATGGCTGAAAGTATATCCGATATAAATACTGAGGATGAAGAAAATATAAAACAAACACGGCATGATAGAGCTGCTGCAAAAAATTTAACGTCATCTGACGATGAATCTTCTGGTGCAGAAGTGGATTCTAGTCTACTATCTCCTTTACCAGATCCGAAAGAATTTTCTGGATCACAATTGTTTCGTTCGAAAAAATCTGCACAGATTTTGGCGACCTATGAACATCCGATCATTTCATCCGAAAAAATCGAAATAATTAAAACTCATAAGAAAAAACAGAGTCTTCAACAAGAAATTGAAGTTATTGCTAAACGTAAGAAAACAGAGTTGGAAGATAACAATGAAGGAGGTTTTATCGATGAAGATAATGTTCATTCCATCGATGAATATAATAAAGAAACAACACATCTAAATAAAAATAATGAAGATCAATTTCAGAAAGGTTAAATATATTAATATAAAAACTTTTTTAATGTAATATTTTTAAATATAACTCATGATATGCTAATTTTCAGTGTTGAAGGAAATTTTGAAAAAAGTTAACCGCATCTTAGTTGAAGTGATATACATCGACAAAAGGCTCAGTAGATTAGAAAATAAAGCAGACCACATTACAAGTAAAGAAATTAATATTAATAATGTCGAAGAAGATTTTGCTTTCAACACTATTTCTTCAATGGATGAATTACAACAGTTAGAAGAAAATTTAAAAAACGAAGAATTTTTCGTTAAAATGGTAAATGTTTATATTTTTACTTAATAATTATAATTATTATTAATAATTAATAATTATTATTTGATAATCAATTATATGAGCGATTATACATAATTGCATTTCATATATATATATATATATATATATATATATATATATGTATATGTATATACACATATAACTTCACACATTTCATACTTATATTTTAATTATTTCTATTTTATAATATTATTTATATTTATATTTTAATTATTTATATATTTCAAATTATTTCAGAGAGACTTTTTGAAATTGAAAGGTGGAACAAACTTACAAGACAAGATAAAAAATATTTTCAGAACTTTAATAAAGGACGAAATATTAATGTTATTTAGCTGGAAAGGAGCTCGAGGAAAAAATGAATTCCGAAGTTTTAAGATTGTCAGTTTAATTATAGGTAAAAAATTTCAAAGCCATTTATTATCAATAATTATATAATTGTGGTTGTTTTTCGAAATTAACAATTTCTGCTAATTCCTTCTGTCTCTTTTGACACTATAATCATAATATGAAACAAGTATTGATTAATACTACAAAAATCGTTATAGCATTGTATCAGAAATAGTTATACTACAGAATAGTTATATTGGAACAAAGCATAAATGAATATCGTTTGTGATGATAATGTATATAATATTATAAATTGATATATATATTTGTAGCTGTTGTTCGTTCATACGACGCATATTCAACCGAGCAAATAATTATAAAAATTATTATCAATTGGATCGTTCAAGCTCCTGCACGTGTTCGTAGAATTGCGTAAGTAAACATTATTTTTTTTAAATATTAATATTTATTAGAAAAATTGTATATATCAATTCAGAGTTTTTTTTAAGTAATTTGTTTCTAATAATGATGTTCATTTTTTTAAGTAATTTGTTTCTAATAATAATATTCAGATATGATATTCATTATGTTTTTCTATTCAAAGTAAACATATATATTCAAATGAATATTGAAAGATTATTGTACGTTTCTTATAATTATATTTTAGAAATTATTTTATTATATATTTCTTTATATGATATTTCTATATTTAATAATAATTATATTACCTTAAATATTAAATTTATTGATTATTTCAGAAACAAAGAAAGAAACCAAACTGATAATATTCAAGATCAACATCAAGAATGATATACAAAAAATGAAGATATAAATATTTTAAGAAAATCTGCATAATGAACATTAGAATTTTGTTTTATTTGTTATAATTAGATATTTTTCTTTTTATTTTTTATTAAACTATGTAACATACATGTATATAACATGTATATAACAAACAGCAGATGTTTCGTTCTTAATAAGTTTGTGCAATCATTAATATAAATATATAATTAATATAAATAATTATGCGTTGAACATTAAAAGTTTTTTTATAATTATATTTTAATGTTTATTAACAGTTTTCTATTCATGTTTATTAAAAATTTTTTATTATATGATGTTTTCTTAAGAACTAAAAAATATAATATACTATTTATGTAATAACACTTTGTACAAAATGTAAAACTATATATTTAATCTTTATATAAAAATAAAATTAAAAAGACTGAATGAGATATATATATGTTATATGCATTTCTTCAAACTTTTTATTTTATTTAGTTTTGGATCAAATAAAATATAAAATTTATAGTAATATAAATACTTTATATCATTAATATATTTCTAAATATTAACATCAAACATTTTAAAAATATAATTATATAGTATCGGAACATTATTTTTATTACTTTAAACTTTATGTATATATATGTATATATATATATATATATATATATATATGTATGTGAATATATGTTCCTAACAGCACACATGTCCAAGGATCATCCAGAGAACAGCCAGAGGATATAAAACATTCTCTAGCTGTCCTCTGAATGTTTTTTGGACATGTGTGCTATTAGGAGACTCAAACAGTCAAAATACACAGTACATTGTAAACGCGTATTTGCAATATTATAGATACGTATCAAATGCATAATTCATGTATTTAACACATATCAAATTGTATATAGTCATATGTATGTGATATATAACGTAAATTACGTATCTATAGCGCGGACATTTATTGATATTAAAGATGTATCTGGTACATGATTTATACGTATTATTACGTATTTGCTATATAGTAATATTTCACATTTTATGTATCTGCTGTGTATCTGAAATATAAAGTGATGTGCGGGCGGTATCAGCTTCCGGTTGCGCTACGCGTTGAATCTTGCGCGACCTTGCGTCAAAGCCGGTAGTAGTTTGGCAGAGAGCGTTATCGCGAACGTAATTTCTCAATAATCCATTCCATACATAGTACAAATTGTTCGACGTTCCCAATGATAATCCGAATTTATTAATCGACATTTCGGTACCGAGAACATTGACCGAATGACACGTATCGCCGACGCATAGTTTAATTTATAATAATGCCGGCCTCGCGAAGTTCTTCGATAATCGACAAGATTTCATTGTCGTGAGCATTGTTGCCGGCTCGACGCGAGGCGTCCAGCAATCGCAAACGATCCACCAATTCGTTGGGATCGTTCCAATGCACGTAATCGATCATGTTGTCGCTTAACGTCATGGTGCGCGGCGCGTCTATACCTCTTCCCATCTTTCTATCGGGGAATAATGGTGCAATTATATATTTGTACTTGTACCCTTTATTAGTTTTAATAGGATTATTAACTTTGTTGTCACGTTTATGCGCATTTGTTATCTTTAATATACTTTGATATTTATGCAAATCATCTCGAGTATATTTTTTATGATTGGGAAATTTTTTAAAAATCAAATCGTAGATACCTTCGGTTCCCTTATATTTTATTCCATCGATAATTATATTATCTTCCTTGTCCACATCGAAACATTTATCACCTAGCATCATTCCTTCATTGGTAAATTTAACACCGTAGACGTAATCCATACTCTTATTTTTATCAACACTCATAATATCTCCTATATATTTTTGCGCCAGTGAACCTAAATGCTCTCGGAACGTTTTCTGACCTCCGGACGTTTCTAATTCGTGTCGGACCGATGTTACAAAAGAATCGGGTGTGGTCTCGTAAATTTCTTCGACGGACGTGGATGGTATTGTTTGACGCGGTTGTACTTTTATCGGAGTAGAAACAGTAACCATATTAGAAAATTGCTTCCTTCGCTTTGATCGATTCGGCGTCGAATATATCGGTGAATCGTTTATCGGCATATTTATCTGTGCTCGCTTTAGTCCTTGCTTGGACTCTTTTATTTTTTCCTCATGCTTCTCACCAAACGTCAAACTCAACGGTTCGATTTTCGACGCATCAGATTCCACAGTATTTTCTGTTTTAAAGGCTCGGTAATCGGTTTAAATTGTCTTTCCAATATGATATCTTCCTCCATTTTACCAGTTTTCAAAGCGCGATATTTTTTGCGAATCGATTCGCTCGTTTTTGCAATCTCTGTCACAATCTTTTCATGATCGTCGTTCATGATGCTCGATCGATGTGTCGATGATGACTGATCGCTTTACGGTATCGCGAAATCATTAAATCCCCTTCTATATCGTCCATTGATCAATGTACTATCTTTATCAATGACTACGAAGCCATATTTGCGTTGCCAACATTTCTGACACAATGCATGGAAATCGTCGTAAGACATATCGGTATTCACGTGATCGTTGTACACATGTTTCAAATTTGTACCGTCTTGTTTAAACAGGATCAGCAGGTTCGCGTTGTCGCGTATAAGATGCTTAGGTATCTTGGCGTACGTCTGACAAAGATAGAAACAGTCAACGCTCGAGTGTCGACCCATTGCAAAATACTCTCTTATCGTATCCTGCTTGTCGCATGCTACGTCATCAAAGATAAAGATGGAATTCGGAAGCGCCTCACTCAGTGGAATGACATCGCTGTTATTAGAGAATGTAAAGTAGCCGATTTCATCTATAGGCTGCTAGTAAATTTTCCAAGTATTTGTATTTCGGCTGTTGAAGCGATTTCGAGTATACGTACACGTTCTCGAAACGTACACCGTGTGGACTTTCTATCAAACTAATCAACACGTTTGTCTTACCACAATTTGAAGGGCCGCAAACGATACCGCGTATAGTAGTCGGCAGCATGTTTCCATGCTTGCGTACTTTTTTCTCCGATATTAGTCTATCATCGAAATTTGATACTTTGATTACTCGCGCTTATCGCACGAACCGCATGTTTTCTCTTTCAAATCAATTTTGCGAATGATCGCGAGGGGGAGACCTATTTATAGAAGTGTCTCGATTCGAAACCGGTCAGTATCAAAAATGTTTCTCCTTCTGTCGGATGAGAGAGACATTCTCGGGCTTACCACCCAACAACTGCAGTATATCCCAAAGATTTTATTACTTCAAAATTTTGGTGATTACGTGGAACGATTGTGGGACAAGCTTCCAGAATATATAAAGGCTGATCCGGAGGTTCGACAATATCGTTCGTGCATGCGACATTACAACCAGCCGTGGCAGCGAACGCACATTGACGGTCCACCACCGTTGATAAAAGATTGCGACGTATGTCAGCGAGAATTGTAAAAGGCAGCGGCCTCTTAAATCGTGCGATAAACGCGCTTCCCATCGAATTACATATTCCCAGCTATTAGTTTTGTGGGCCGGGAACTCGATTAGAGAAACGATTGGTTAGAGGTGATCGAGGCATCAATCCATTGGACGCGGCGTGTCGTGAACACGACATTGCTTACGCGCGAAGCAATGACCTCGACCAACGTCACATCGCTGATCGCATACTAGCTGCAAGAGCGCAAGAACGCATTACCGCGAGGGATTCGACTCTCGGTGAAAGAGCAGCCGCTACGACTGTTTGGGCGGCAATGAAGGCAAAGACAAAACTCGGCATGGGGATGAAAAAGAAATCGACGACAAAGAGGAGGAAGAAACGAATACTTCCAGTAGCGAAACGTGGTGGTATTTTACCACTTTTACCGTTATTGGGAGTTGTCGGTTCATTGGCCGGCGGTGCGGCGGGAATCGCAAAGGCGGTAAACGATAGCAAGGCTGCGCAACGTCAGCTGGAAGAGATGCAGCGTCACAATCGCGCTATGGAAGGTCGCGGACTTTATCTCGCTCCGTACAAGCGTGGACAGGGATTCTCAACAAAGTCTAAGAGAAAAAAAAAACGTCGAAAAAACATTAAAAATGCCTACGGGTGCGACAACTAACGTGCAATTGGATCAATTTGCGAAACGTATGTGTATACCTTTCTTTAGAGGTGTTTTCATGCGCAATAATTTACCGATAAGCGGCGTACGACGAAACGAAAGCGGTATCGTCAATTTGGATGACGTTGATGGTCCCGGTACTCATTGGGTAGCGTACGCAAAGAGGGACGGTCGTGTCGTATATTTCGACAGTTTTGGAAATTTGCGACCGCCCAAGGAACTTGTACGATATTTCGGACGAGTGAAAATTGAATACAATTACACATCTTATCAAAGTTATAATCAGAGTATCTGTGGACAGTTGTGTTTAAAATTTCTTCAAACGATCAATTTAAAGCCTGACAATCCATCGTCATGACTCAGTATTCGTTCGACATGTCACTGACACTTACGTTGACTGGCAGAAGCAGCGTTCTCGCTGTAAGCTATTTCCCCGCTATAGATTTGACCGATGCCGATTACGAGCTCGGATTAACGGATTTTGAAACTTATCACACGATTCCGAACGTAAATTTTTCGAATAATAAATTTTATTTTGGCAACGACAACAAGGAAATTACAATTCCCGAAGGATCGTACGAATTGCACGCCATAAATGATTATCTCAAACGCGCAATTTTGCGAGATGAGCACCTTTCCAGAGATGGTGAAAACAATTATGATGAGGAATATCCAATAGTGCTCCGCGCCAATCACAGTACGCTAAAGAGTGAAATCAAATGCGCCTACAGAATAAACTTTACCAAACCCGACAATGTAGGATCCTTGCTTGGATTCTCATCGAATCGTATATTGCAACCTCGCAAGTGGTATGAATCAGACGAACCTGTTAATATTATAAACGTAAATATTATTCGTATAGAATGCAACGTGACTACTGGTGCGTACAGCAACGACATGCGCGTACACACGATACATGAATTTTCACCGAGCGTACCGCCAGGATATAAGATATCGGAAACGCCGGCACAG